CCTAATCTTAATACGGGCACCCTAACCCTAATTCTTAAAAAATCGGTATTTACGTGCTGATGGGTATTGTTGCATTCCTAATTAATGTGAATAAAATGAAATTATCTAATAGAATATGTTTTAAATATATATATATTTTATAAAAAATTATATCATATATATTATTATTAATTTTTTATTTACTTAAAAATTCTATATATTTTTTAAATTTTAGATAATTGCGTTTAGAAAACAGTTTAAAAACATATATTAAGCCTGATTTGGATTTAAACAAAGTTCTCGTTGTCTTTAGAATTTTAAAAAATTTTATTAAAAGAATTTGCTTAATTCTATTGACTCACCATCAGTGCACAAAATTGTGGCATGACGTGTCCTGATATTTTTCTGGCGATCTTTTTATTAAACGGAATTTAGAATCTATAGCTGGAGGTAGTAAATAACGATAGTAATAATCAGTTATGATGTAAGAAAGTGTTAAATTTTGAACAAACGGAAAAATTCCAAATATCAAAAAACTGCGTCGGAATTTTCTTATTTACCGGAATCTCCGGTATTTGGGATTTTGCTAGGAAAATAACCCTCCGAGGCTATGTAGATTTTGTGAATAAAAATTAAGTTTGCCAACCATCTAGTTATCCAATTTGAATGAACTTTTTTTTTATTTTGTAGAGCTAAATGATCTCTACAAAAATAAAAAAAAGATCATTCGAATTGGATGACTAGATAGCCGCATATTTAATTTCTATTCACAAATTCAATATAGCCTCGGAGGGTTATTTTCCTAGCAAAGATCCCATTTTACAGTATATTTTGTGTTTTGCTCACCACATGTGCATATTACAGTTTAATTATCTATATATATAAAGCAGACAAACTTTTCTGTTAAATATAGTATATAGCATGTGAAAGCCTATGTATAATAATCTTTACAGAAATAAAAGCATGAATAAGAAGAAATATGTGGCGAAGATTCAGAATTCTCGTTTGTAATCGGATAAATTCAAGGTTAGGTGAAACATCGAATTAGTTGACTGAATTATTGGAGTAACATTTGATTTTTACACCGGATAGAAGTCATTGTCATGTGCCTAGCAAAAACATATTTTGTTAGAAAATAGTCAATACTTATAATTTTACGAAGATAAACGTCTAGAACTACATATAATTTTTACAACTCTAAGCTATATATTATATCTATAAAGCATACAACTTACCATAGAATACACGTGATTATGCTAAAAGATTGTAGTTTTATATACATCAAAATAGTGATAGTACGATAAATACGTACTGTAGATTTCTAAAATAACATATGCGTGACATAGATTATTGGTTCTCATGACTGGAATTACCACCTGTCCGGAGTTGTTACTTTAGGCGATTGAACTTGCAACTGACCAGAATTACTCTTAATGCATGAAGATCAAATTTTAGGGCTTAATTTTAGTCAGATATTGAAGTAGCGACTCCTGGAGGTGGCAATTTTAACATTATTATTTGAATGCATACGTAACGATTATAACATTTTTTCTAAATATATATTGATATTATTCTGTTCTTCCTAATTGGCATTAATTTCACGCATTGTACGTGCGTAGTTCTATCGGATGAAGTCAATGCGTAACACCTTAAATCCAAAATCAAACAAGCTAATATAAGTAAATGTGGCGGTGTAAAAAAAATGGCTATGCATTCTTCGCCCCATAAAGATAATAACAGTCATTTAATCAAGAATTTCGACAGGAACATATGATTGAATAAATGACACAGCCACTCATTTACGTACGTACGTATGTACAACAGACTCATCAATCTTCATGATTCTTTTCTCATGCAGAATTGTTAGGCAGTGACAAGAGTACGCAGTTGTCGATGACATTAATTTCAAAGTGACGAAAAAAACATAACACTCTAAATTTTAAACCAAAAATCATAAAAATGTCAAAATTTAGGATATTTGCTTCAATATTATCGATATACTTTATCATACTTACTTCCCTTGCATACGCATTTCCCTCTCCGAATCCTCAAGGCATAACAGACACATCGCCTACACCAACTTCAACTTCCACGGCATCTGCAAATGCAACCGAAACACCAACAGCAACAACATCACCAGCTCAACCATCAGCTGTCGTTATAGCTATAATAGTCGGAATCGTAATAGGAGGATTGTGTATATTATGTAGTTGTTTGTATAGACGACGTCGTCAAAGAATATTACCCACTTTGACACAATCGCCAAGAACTACGATTCGACCCGGTGCTTCCTATGAATCTGCTAAACGGTTGGAAGAGTCAAGCTTGGAATTTAGAAACAGAGCTTGGGATGAACCTATGTCAAATATTTATAAGTCTTCCCAGTCGAATACTGGCAGTGGTGCGGATGGCTCCGAGGTTAAAACGGGAGATACTCTGAATAAATAAAATTGTGACGTAAAATTAAAATTAGGGGAGAGAAATATAGCATTTAGTGAGAGATGGCATGACTAAATGCGTTGACTAATTGCATTCACTCATATATATACATGTATATTTTATAATTATTTTAGCTCCTTATAAAAATATATAAATAATTAGACAATATATTATATTTCAATCTTATCGTTATCGGCTTAATAATTTCTTTGTACATACCTACTCATTCTCGAGAATCATCTCATTTGTATTTTATAAGTCTTACACTGCGATTCTTTAGGTTTTGCCAAAATCGGCAGATAACAATAAAGTGAAATTTAACAAGAGCATACGTACTGTACAATACATGTCGATATATATATGTAAAGAATCCGATCACGTTAATTACAATAAACCAATTCTTTCATTGGCGTATGTATTCGACCATAAGCATAAGAATTGTATGATTGCATTAAAACGTTAATATTTCGTTCACTATAATAAAATCCATGATTCACTATTATAAAATCTATGATTCACTATAATAAAATCTATGATTCACTATAATAAAATCTATGATAAGGTTTATTTCTATTTGTTCCTTATATCAATGCACATTATTTGTGTTTTACATACATAAAAGGTTTACCCGTAATTATTTATCCGGTTTGTTTTTATAAAAACGAAGTGAGCGATATCATTCCCAAGCCCTACTGCCACAAAAATACGTAATATCTAAATGGTTTTATTTCCCATGATTTTTTCTTCGGCCCTATTTGAACTAGAAAAATCCAGAGAAATATTTCATTATTTCCCGCGATAGTGGGGAGTAATTAGTATTTATCCAGCATTTATCTTAGATTTTGTAGTCACCCGACATTTAACGGTTTAAAATCTTATGTACATGATAGTTAATACCGATACATTAACTTAATCCGGATTAATGCATTAACTAGTTATATCGTCTAATGCAGAATAATGGTTAACAAAACGGTCAATAGCATTATTGTTTATATAATTCCTAATAAAATTCTATATCTTGACTGACAAAGTGCTATCGCGTTTTAATAGACGTTATGGTACACCTCAAAATATACCAATAAATTTGCATTTTGCAATATCACAATTACCGTGGGCCTCGTGATTAAAATCCGGATATTACTCATCGTCCCCACCGCTTGTTTTCTTGAATAAGATCCGGGTACATCTATATTGATTTCTACTTCTAATATAATATATCCCCAAATATAATACACACAGTACCCACGGATATTATTCAATTTTCAAATGCTCTTGAATAAAGCCCTGAATATTGTAAGCGATGTTCGTTAAATTTAAAAACAATCCTAGCCTGCAATCTTTCGTAGGGCAATCATCAAATTTTACGCTAGGGATACGGCAAAGTAGAACCAATATTAACTAGCCAACTATACCTACACAAATAATTAATCTCAACAAAGCCGACAATGAACCTGGTAAATCCCGACTCGAATTTTAGAGGCACAGATCACATGCTAATTTTAAAAAATTTTATTTTCCATAGAGATAATGCATGAACTAGTAGCACATAAAATAATTTCCTAAATTATGAACCTCAATTAAAGTTCAGAAAATTTTAAAATAATGCGCAAAGAACAATCCGTACGTACTTAATACAAAGCCGAAAGTCAAAAGGCTTACCGAAGGCCCAAAGTTTTACCGAAAATCTAAAGTCTTATCGAAAGTTCTATCGAAAATCAGAAGCTTTATCGAAGCAAGACTGAGGATATTTAGGTCTAGAAAATAGATTTAAAAAAAACCCCTTATAATAAAATTATCTTTCGTCGCGAGTGTCCTGTTAGGATGATCATCAAACTAATTAAATCAAATTTAGGGTACATATATATATATATATATCGATATTTTTTCTTTTTTTCGGTGTTAAGGTGAGGCCTTGCCTCATTGGGGGTATTTCATATCCTAATTAATCAAAATTATGTAAGATGCAGTAATAATGACATTAGCATAAGATTTTATGCATAAAATTGATCGACGAAATCGAAATGTCTTTACTAGTAAATAATAGTTAAATTATCAAAATTGATTAGATATTTACTAAAATAGCTTAATTAAAATTATTTCAAAATATTTCAAATATTTTATAATATTGTGAAATATTCAAAATATTTTAAAAAAAAATTAAATTAGCTATTTTAGCAAATATTCAACTAATTTTAATAATTTAACTATTTTTTTTTTTTATATTTTGGCAATCCTGCTCTTGCTTTATTGGAACTGACCCTTCAAAAAAATTACAAAAATTTTCTATCTAGAGTTGTATAGTTTACCCTACAGCAAAAACTCACCAACAATAAATCACCAACATAACCTGCCTTAGTAGCCTTTGGCCTTACTTGGGGTTCTTAACTTATTAGAAACTTCTATTCTTTTGTTCTTCAGCTGGTGTGCTATGCATCTTGTCAAGATTAGAGGTGGGAACATTTCTCAGAGTAGTTACTCTCTATAGTACTACGGCTATGATATATAAGTCATACTACTTTTACGTTGAATTGATATAGGCTGTATGAGGTAGCAAAGTAGTATGATGTATAGATAACATAGATGATATAAGTGACTTAGCAACATATTTGATGATATAGATAATGCAAGTAATGTATGTATATATATACATATATACATATTTACCAATAGGAAAATTAACTATAACAGGAATATTGATTCTTTGTATACTTGACAGAGTATTTTCTGGAATCAAATCAGTAGCTTTTGATATATTTTCTTACTAGGCAAAGGTACATATAATAAACTTTGCATGTATTACATTACGACAAATTTATGAAATACCCTAAAATTTTGATCACTAAATAAACAATAATAATTTTTGATTGAAATAACTACTATCTCTGAGTGAAGATACATTATTATAATAAATTTCTATGTCTAATAAGATGGGGAAGATAGGTTAGTACTTGGGAAGATGGGTTAGACATATTATTAATCAAGATCAAAAGTTCAAAAAACTTTTTCAGGGTTTAACATTGATTTATTCATATGTTATTTGGTAACTAAAATTTAAAATTGAGGACCAAATACTCAAATTTAGTAACCAAATTTTAGCTTAATTTATAAATTCACTGTAATGATACAAATATTTAATGTCAAATTAATTTATTAATTTTTAATTTAGAAATTTTACGATACTGTCCTGTTACCTTAAGATTGCTATTCAATTTAAATTTTAATTTAGATTTTTACTCATATAGTCCAGATCTGAAAAACCTGAAAGCAAATCTAAAACCAGATATTGTTTAAATCTTTTTTAAAAAATTATAAATCAAATATCAAACCTAAAATTATCAAATATATCTGAAAGCAAACCTAAAACTAGATATTATTTAAATCTTTTTTAAAAAAGAATTATAAATCAAATATAATTGTACTAGCATTTTTTGCAGCATATAGCATCTTTTATAGATATGTCACCTTTTATAATATATAATATCTTTATGATATATATTACTTTGTACGTCTATGACAAAGTGATATATTGTTATAATATTTACCACAAGGGTAGTTACTTCTAACTTAAATAATGTTCTCATCTCTAGTCAAGATACAATATATAAAAAAAACACAAAGATAAAGAACTAATAATAAAAACAAAGGTATAAAGAAGTACAATAAAAGATATAAACAAGAAAAGAAAAAGAATAAAAGGTACTAATAAGAAAAAAAATTATATCTATCCTAACAACTACAATTATTAGTCTGTATTGGGCTTGTAAAAATTATATGTTACTATATAAACTAGTCTCTACTCTAAATTTATCTAATTAATACATCTAAATAAAAACTAATAAAAAAACAACTTTGTTAACTTAAAATTCAAAATCAATATATTCAGATTATAGAGAAGTCAAATCAAGATCTCAAAACATTGTTTATACAGAATTTTAATATTTGAGATATATGTATTCATATATTTGTTATTGTCAAACCAATTTAGAAGATAAACAATACCAACTTAATTGGTGCATGTAATATCAATCTTTTAGAGAGGGTAAACTGAAAGTTATTTTTTGCAAAAAATTTTCTTAAAAAAAAGTAGTATACCTACAAGTATATATAAGATTCTTTTGTAAATTTTATAGTTATATAGATACTGTCTCAAGCTTCTACTATTTTAGCAAGAGCCTTACTTTACTTGTTTTTAGAATAACCCTTTTGATTTGGATGCTGAATATCTTAAAAGTTCACTAGACAAAAACTTGACTCCAAGAAAAACCATCTTCAGTATATCCACTTCTTAGTATTTCACATTTTTTAGCTTTATCAACAACATCTTCTCAAAGAAAGGACTAAAAATAGTATCTGACTTGGCTATTCCTATAATATTTTTCTGTATTTTGATTTTTTCTGTTGTTGACCAGAGAATCATCAAGAAGAGTTGTAATGAAAATTAAATATTCTATTAATAATTTAATTATTATAATAACCTGTTAAATTATACTAGAAACTGGAAACTGGTATAAGTCTGAAGCTAAATTTAATAAATTTATTATTTAAAAAATCTTATTATATATATTATAAATTAAAATTTTGGCTGATCTTTAGTATAGGTGGGCAACTATAAAAAATCATAATAAAAATTCTTATACAGATCTCCTTTAGTAAAGGTGGGCAAACTCTGATTAGTTACACATGATTGCATGATACAATAGATAGTCAATTTAAATGATAATAAAATTAAATAAACTAACTCATGCT